ATGACAGGAACAGTGGAAATATTCCATTCCCGATACTTTTAGTGCAGCCTAGGTATTGCGGGAGCGTGTAAGGAAATTAGAAAAGTTAGCATACCAGTCCTACATAACCTCTGTTGAAAATTCGATTAGTGCAAATCCGAAACACTTCTGGTCGTATATTAAACAAAAATCAAAATCACATTCAATACCTTGTTGTCTCCAATTTGAAGGTTCTGTAAAAAAATGAACTCTGGTGAACTTATCTCTAATGATTTTTCAAACTATTTTCGTTCAAATTTTTTGGTTTCGGGCGATAGTAATACTCAGCTGTCTGAAAATAATTATAATGATTCTCTAGTGTTGCCTCAGTCGAGTGTTGATATCACCTCAATTGATATAAACGAAAATACGGTCAAAACCTGCTTAAAACGTTGGATCCAACGAAATCTACTGGTCCCGATAACATTCCAGCTCACTTTCTTATTAACTGTGCGCATACAATTTGTGTTCCTTTGACTATTTTGTTTAAAAAGTCTCTTGGTACAGGTATTGTTACTACTATCTGGAAGCGTGCATTTATCACGCCTGTCCATAAAAAAGGGTTCCAAGACCGAAGTTACTAATTATCGACCGATTTCCAAGTTATGTATTGTATATAAAGTGTTTGAACGAATTATATATAATCAATTATACGCGGCCCTAAAACATTCATTCAATCCGACTCAACATGATTTTTAAGAGGACGCTCTACTGTTTCAAATCTTGCGCTCTTTAATGCATTTTCGACTGAGGCAATGGACAATCGCCACCAGGTAGATGTCGTTTATACCGATTATAGTAAAGCCTTTGACAGAATACATCCTAATTTGCTATTGCTGAAACTGTCCAAGATCGGTATAAACGGCGATCTGCTTAGGTGGCTTACGTCTTATATAAATAATCGATCACAAGCTGTTGTCGTCAGCAACTACATATCAGGATGGGTAACTGTTCCAAGTGGGGTGCCACAGGGCTTACTTCTGGGTCCGTTATTATTTGTTATTTTTATCAATGACATTACTTATTACCTAAAGAAAGCTCGCTTATTATGTTTTGCCGATGATATGAAGCTATTTCTGAAAATAACCTCAATCGAGGATGCTGAGGCTCTACAAGAAGATCTGTCAAATCTAGAGCGTTATTGCCACCTAAACTTCTTAGATTTGAACCCTTCGAAATGTAGCTTTATATCCTATAGTCGGAAATATAAACCGATTGTCTTTAACTATAAATTGAAAAGTGAAAATCTTAAAAGGGATTCCATTGTTAGAGATCTCGGTGTTCTTCATGATTCCAAATTGATATTTGACGTTCACTTAGGAAGCATTATAACCAAATCTACGAAAGCTCTTGGATTTTTGATGCGTAGCTCTAGGGACTTCACTAAAGCTAAAACTCTAAAGATCCTAAAGATATTGTTCTCTTGTAAGAAGTAATTTGAAGTAGGCATCTCAAATCTGGATTCCAAAAATATCCAAAGTAAGTTTATGCGTTACCTCCATTATAGAACCAATGACTATCGCTATACCTCTGATAATTATATTAGTTATTGTAAAAAACATCACCATCTTCCTCTTGCTATGCGTCGTGAGATTGCTGACCTGACTTTTCTGTTAAAAATAGCTTGTAGTGCTATTGACTGTCCTGAGCTTTTATCTCTACTACATATTAGCTGTCCTGCCAAACCTCTTAGACACAACAAAATTTTAAGTCTGTTTGCATCTACAAATTATAGGCAAATACATTTATATGGCGAGCGAGCAATAATTTCAATAAGCTAGCCAATGAGTTTGACTTCGATTTGTTTAACACTAGTCCTGCGTCAGCTAGGCGCATACTTAATAATGCATTTTTTGGTAGCTCTAAGTAAGATTTACTTTTGTATACGTGTTTATTTTTCTGTTAAAAATAGCTTGTAGTGTTATTGACTGTCCTAAGTATGAGTTGATTTACTTTTATATGTTCAGCCCTTATTTGGCATAAATATGTTGTATTGGATACTTTCGAGTGTTAAATCGTGTTTATCATTGTTGTAAATTCACCTTTGTATCTATCAGTGAGGATCTATAATTGACTTACTGTTGTTATTAGTACTATCTATCCTAATTATAATAGCTGTTGGTCTTCCAAATAAAATAAAATAAAATAAAATAAAAAAAATAAAAAATAATTAACAGAGTAATAAGGTTTACTATTGAATACCAATCACTTGATATCGTCGACTTTTTACATGGGGAAATGCCCACGCATACCTGCTTCGTGGGGTCAATGACGAGTTATATGGGACTTGCACCGACTAAAACCGCATTCTGTTTCACCTACGTCGCATATTTCCTTGGCCACGGTAACGCTTTCGCTTACATCTGCGGCACCACCAGCGCCGGTCGTAGCTTGGGAGAGAACTCTTCTCCATTTTACTGGTCAGGTAAGGCGCACCAAAACATACGCCTTCCTCTGTGTCTTTCAACTCCCCTTTCGCAGCGGATCTCCGTAAGTCAGATACGCGAATGCCTTGAGTCTAGAAAAAACAAAAAACTCAGAAGCACAAGCCTTCCTGACCGAATCTGGTATATAGCTCTGCCGCCGACCAAGTTTCGGGCACTGAGGGTACCACGGAAGAGTGGCACCTCGTAATAACGCAACTCCTCTCCTGGCCCCACCACCAACACATCAGCGCTTCTCCTCCGCTAGAGTCGCGGAGGGGACGAAACTTTTAGGTCCAACACTTCTCTTCTCCCGTGACTTCACATTGGCTGCGGCGAGAACGAGGAGATCCCTCCCGCACAAGTACGTCAACACTAGTGGGCTTGGTAAGCCCAGTCCTCACACGCCGCACTGTTGCAGTGCAACATCAGGCGAGCTTTCGCACTCTCTGGACTATGTAAAGTACATATCGCAATATTTTGTGAGATTTTGGATATATTCTGCTATTAAATTTAATAATCAATTTTTTGAATTAAAAATGGGCTCACTCTTTACTTCCATCTGGCCCGAGGTACGTACCTTTTAATACGCACCTTGAATAGGTTAAGGTTATATGATTTCGGAAAAACAGACTCCTGCAGAGCATTCCGTTTCTTGTCTGTGCGCATTATGAAAGATGACTTATAGCGCTTAGTGCGAATAAGAGGAATATCAACGAAGTATGGATGGCAACCTGCAGTACGTCTGATACTCCGATAGGAAAATGGAGATGGCGGTATGAGCTTATGAAGCTCATGGGTACACTCTCCGAGGTACAATCTGTAGAAGACCGACAAACAAGCAACTTGACGACGGTGAGCTAAGCTGTGAAGCTTTGGCTTCCACCAGTTTTTTGTCACTGATAAGCCTCTTGGCTCTTGTTGCATTGAGTCGTGTGCGGCAAGTTGATATTTTGTTGAGCCTTCCCAAAGGCTACAACACTCCGTGCATGTTCGGACTTGAGCTTTATATTATAAAGTTAGAAGCTGTCCAGGCGTGAAATAACGCTTCGCCTTTTTTTAAATACCCAGATTTTTGGCCGCAGCTCTCGACTCAATTTTAGCGCCAAACTCGTCAAGCTCGAGATGATGAACAGACAGGCCTGTATTTTTGCGGCGTTGAAAGTGGCCAGATTGCCGTGTCACCCCATTGGGATACAAGACTTAAGGTCGCATCCGCTCGACCATGGCCTCTGAGGGAGCATATTAATGTCTTTTGCACTGGACATGAATCTATCAGTGAATGTGTCGTCATCTGCATACCTAAGAATACCTGGTAGAAGTAGGTCATTAATGTGCAGCAGAAAAAGAGTCGCAGAGAGAACAGACCTCTGAGGAACTTCGGCATTATGCATATGCATTAGATCAGAAGAGCCTATTTACTACTATGACTACCCTGATCGACCGTTCACTCAGAAAGTCAGATATCCAGTTGAAAAATTCGGCGGGGACGCCGTAAACAGGAAACTTATTCAGCAGACTTGCGTGCCAAAACCTGTCAGAAGCCTTCGAGATATCGAGTGAAACTGCTAAAGCTTCACCTTCGTATTGTATACTTCTTTCTTGTATACTCGTTTTGATTAATTTGATACATTAAAATAAAAAAAAAAACATTTTTTCACATTTGGCCAAATCCATGTTGATCCATAACGTAGTTTCGGGTTAATAAAAAACATACACTAACACGTGGCATTAAAGTGCAATATTGCTTGGACACGCGGTATTTAAGTATATAATATTATTAGCGACATTAATAAAGTACATTGCACGTAACGTACGTACATATTGTAAGTACACAATAAAACTGCTATATTTATTGTGTGCTGTCAAGGTGCTTGTAGTACTTTTTACCAAGCGCTTAAAAGGGGTTGTTATGTAGTGCTATCTTCACTGTGGTCGAACTTTAGACCTCTTTACAGATATTTAGATCTTCTTTCAGTCCGTAAAGTTTCACTGCTGGATACCCTTTTCCGTTGTAGGGGTTGCCTTAATCGCCACGCTTGGCAAGTGGGTAGAAGAATTTTTAGTAGTGCTATTTGTCGCCGCTGCCCGTAGCCGGCACAGACATTTTATCCCCGGCGTAAACGAGATGGTTATACCGCCATCTATCAGTCACTATACGATCTTTCTGGCACTTCCCATAGTCACCCTTTGTGATACCTAACTCGCTTATCAATAAAGTAACACAGGAGAAAGTGAAACACTGACTTAGTAATGTATTTCATATAGCTAGCACTGTTTTATAACTAGCAAATTAAGAAATAAGAACATAACGCTCTTATTTCTAATAAGGTTTTTTAAGTATTTATAGCTTGTAATTTAGCATTAGTGTGAATTATTTGTAATACTTGACCAGTTTTAAAATAATATATTGCAGCAAAGTCGTATTACTAACAATATTATTAGTCATATACTTAATGTGCTCAATGATTATGTGGTAGATAATTCAATTAGATACACATTACACCACATTTAATTCTGTATATTTATTAATAAATTAAAACATGACATACATTTTAGGTTAAACTGTTCAACGTTTCAAGTGAAAAGTTTCTCTACAACAACGAAAAACCTAATGGCAAAAAATAAATTAGATTCTTTAGTTCACACGAGAGAGGTTGTGGATGAAATTCGACAGTTAACCAAAATGCTTAACTTTGATAAGAGCACTCGAGATCACAAGCAGCATACCTGGAACAACATAAACTGGGGTGAAAACGCACCATACTGGAATCAGTACTACAAGATCGTGAGAGATTATAATTATCCTTTTGAAGTAAGTATGCTCGTTTGCCTCGTCTTCTATAAAAAAATACACAAATATCACATACAGCTTTAATGGAGCGAAGTGGCTGACATAGTATTGTTTTTTTTTTTCATTAAACAAACAACAACAGCGACGTGGCGCCTCAGTAACGCTTCGCATATACCTAATCCGTCATCGAAACGAATTTTTCACCAGTGGGAGCACTGAGCAGTGCTCGCATTGTACATCAAAACATACCTTAAATCGCTTAGTCACAGCCTTATGTATAAATGTAGTCTCCTACGGACCCGACGTGGACGATCGCAGTACCAGACGTTTCGAGACCCATTTAGAATTTTTCAACCGTTGTAACTATTTTTTTTATAGGATAGGGTTACAAACGAGCACACAGTCCACCTAATGGTAAGTGGTTGCTGTGGCCCATAGACATCTACATCTTTCCTCGATTACGAATCAAAATGCAGATGCGTTGTTACCCGTGAGGACTAAGATGGAATGCCTCATTTCCAGTAAAAAGGGTTTCCGATTCTCTACACTCACCATACGAAACACAGCAGCATTAAGCTACTATTTTACGCTGGTATTCTGTGAGAGCGTGGTCCTTCCCCAGTCGAGCCTACCCATTCGTGCTACAACTATACTACTAATATAACTGTAACATGGCTCTACCACGTATAAATAAATTTCGGTGAATTATAAAGTTATGCTTTTTTTTTCGTTTCTAGTTAAATAGATAGCAAACGTTACGATTTCTTATCTTTACGAGAATACTACACATAAATATATTAATGAAATATATTTTACTTTGTGAAATTACATGACAGTAATTTTACGGATTTTATCGTGTTTAATTTTAACTTTTTAACTTCTGACCTTTCGAGTGCTTTACAGCACCCATGGTCACGGGGAGGTTTTTGACATCCCGAATATTTATTTTTGGTCCGATCTACGCAGAACTAACTTACAGTATCTTGAAGTCTTGCAGCGTTATGCTTGGGTTTGGATTTAATTTTATTAATAATTATAGGATCCCAATCAGATGGTAGCACTCATCCAACTTCAATTTCAATAGCCTCGCGATTTATCCTGGGTAAGAATCGATGTTCTTTTGCAATTATTTGTGGTCTATCAAATCTAATGTAATGGCGGGGACGATCTTGAACATGTTCACAGACTGCAGTCTTCCCGAAGCGTCGGTGATTCATGTCAGTTATATGTTCTTTTACGTGGGTTTTATAGATCTTTCCTATGTACGGAAAATCATGTTCAAAATCAAGCTTCTCCACTCCTGCATCATATTACACTTGGCGGATGGTAAAAATTGACTAATCTTCTTCAGCGGCTTGGTGGTGCTTTTATGGAAGCTCTATCAAACGTTGTTTAAACATTTACAAGCCGAAATCATCTCTATACTCGGTGCTAATATATACCTACATATATTTACATTATTTGACCAAGAGCGTTTTAAATTTAAATAGTATCACGGTTGCTTGTTCTTTCCGTTATTGAATGATAATGCCCGTGCTGATAGTGATATATTTTCTTTTCTAAATATGTTTTATTTTTCAGACAAAGTCTGAGGAGTGCCGAATACTGGAGCTTATATCTGATGAAATAAACCGACTAGTAGACTTGAAATCCGCTGAAGAAAATTCGATTAGCTGCGAAAAATTAGAAATACCAATAGACTACCTGATGACAGTTGTTGAACATATTACAAATGACGTCGATAAAGTCAAGTGAGTGTTGTCTGTAACATAAGAAAGTTTTGTCTGTTCTGTTCTGATCTGTTCGGATCTTCATACATCATCTTCATACAGCCCTTCACTAGTCCACTGCTGAACATAGGCCTCCCCAAAGGAATGCCACAAAGCACGGTCCTAAGCCACCTGCATCCATCACTTCCTGCATGTCTTACCAGATCGTCACTCCATCTAGTGGGAGGTCGCTCCGCGGTCGTCGTTATCGTCGTGTATATATATATACTATATTATATATATATATATATATATATATATATATATATATATATATATATATATATATATATATATATATATATATATATATATATACTAGCTTGCCAGACAGACGTTGTTCTGCCCTTTTCGACGATAATTTGTCATGTCATTGTCATGTCATAAAAATCCTTAAATTCGCAAAAAAATATTGTGGGCAAAAAACTATTCTATCTTTCAAGTTGGGCCAAACTGCACACGGTGTGCAAATTTGATTAAAATCGGTTAAGTAGTT